TGCAATGGAGGCTGAATGCAAGGATTCATGGGTATGGTTTCTGACCTAATTAGTAGAGGACATAAGAGCTGGAAGTGACATTGGGTGGACATTCATTTCAGACAGACAAAAAGGATTGGTGCACACCTTTACACAGATTTTGCCTAATGTTGAGCATAGGTATTACTTGAAAAAAAAAAAAAAAAAAAAAAAGCAAAAGAAACAATTGAAAGGGATTTAAGGAAGCAGTATGCTAGACTATGGGATTACTGTGAGACAGTCAAACAACATAATCCAAACAGTTGTTTAGTGATTAAATTGGACAGAACTATAGTTGATGAGTGGTTGATGCAAGAGAATCCTGAAACATGAGCCAGGTCTTACTTCAGCACAAGATCCAAGTGTGATATTCAAATGAATAATCTTAGTAAGTCTTTCAACAAGTACATTTTGCCAACAAGGGATAAACCAATCATCTCAATAGTGGAGTGGATTAGGAGGAAACTGATGAACAGAATACAAGTGAACAAAAATGGGATGGAAAAACATGGTGGCTCTATTTGTCTAACTGTGCAACAAAAATTAGAGTCAAACAAAGAGGATGCTAGGAATTGCTTTGCTAGTTTTGCAGGTGAGTTAAAGTTTGAGGTGGATTGTTATGATACAACTTATGTAGTGGACTTGAGGACAAGAACATGTGGGTGTAGGGATTAGGATCTAACAAGTATACCTTGTAAACATGCCATAAGTTATATATACCTTACTAAGGAGAAACCTAAAGCTTATGTACATAATTACTTTAGCAAGGAGACATACTTGAGGACATATTCTTTCATGATAAATCCTGTGCCAAGGGAACATGACTGAATTGAGACTAGATATGATGTCATAGCCCCTCCTTACTATAGAAAACTAGCAAGGAGGCCTAGAAAAGAGAAGAAGAAAGCTGCTGATGAGGCCAAGAATGTACAGAGGGTGTCAAGGAAGTACAAAACAGTGCAATATGCAAAGTGCATGGGTTTTGGACAGAACAGAAGATCATGCAAAGGTCCAGTACACAAGAAATCCACAATGTTCAAGAGGAGGGGTGGACCAACCACCAGTTCCAGAAAATCTGCAAGTCAACCAAACAAGGTAAATTCATTTCAATTTCAGTAATTTCATTTGATGCATTTCAATTTCAATTTGAATTGAATTATTATTACAGTTCTCAAATGCTTCATCTAAACAAGCTACAAGACACACATCTTCATCCCAACCATCTGCCACTCATCCTGTTTTATCCCAACAAGCTACTAGTACTCATCTATCTTTATCCCAACTAGTTATCATTACTCCATCACAACCAATAATGCCTTGTGGAGCAAGTGCAAGTGCAAGTGGAAATAGATTTGCAACAGTTGGAATGAATTAAAATAGAAGAATTTTTTTGTAATTGAAATGTTGTTGACATGTTGGAATGTTATTGAATTGTACTCACAACACCTGTTCTTTTTGTTTAGGGTTTAGGTTGTTATCTTATGTTGGAATGCAAAAGTTTTTGTAATTGATATGTTGGAATGTTGTTGACATTAAAACAAGTTTTGTACTTCAAATGTTGACATGTTGGTCTTAGGGAGCAGGTTTTGTAAACATATGTTGATATATTGATGCTTAATGAACATGCTTCACATGTTGGAATGTTATATAGGTTTTGTAATTGAATTGTTGAACTGTTATTCTTCGACAGTCAAACAGCATAATGCTTCAAAAATATATTTCATTTATAGCAAAAATAGTCTTCAATATTACATATCTTCCTTTCTCATATCAGGTTAGATAACACTTTTCTTTTTCTTTTTTCTTTTTTCTTTTTTTTGCTTTCATTTGAGAGTACTTGCAATATAGCATAAAAATAGTATCCACCTTCCTAGAAACATTCTTCAATACAACTTTTCTTTTCTTTTTTGAGCCTTTTCCACTTCTAACTCCATATCATTTATTCATTGCATGAGTCTTGGTAGTAGATCACGTGAGTGGTGGCACAATGGTGGGTCAATCCGCTCAAAATAATCACAAGCAGCATGAATTTGAAATTTTTAATAAATAAGTTTAGATTTTTTTTCAATATTATATAACATAACAAATAAATAAATAAATAAATTATTAAATATTGAAAGTGATTACCCTATAAGTTGCATATCCTATAAATCTTCTTCCCATATTTGCATTTGTCTAAGCTGTTTTAATCGGAGATCTTTGGCTACAGTAGCATGTATGTGCTAAACTTTGTCCACTATAGTGAGAACCTTGAGAGGATGACATTTTTAATAATGAAAGTGGTCCTAGAAATTTTTTGGTTGGAAAAAGTGGGTTTAGAAATTTTTTTGGCTAGAAAAGCGGGTTTGGAATTTTTTTTGGATAGAAAAATCTGTTTGATTGCTTTATGTTTATATAGGCAAGTGGCTGGCTAAATTTGGGGCAAATTGGTCATTTCACACCTTCATTTTGGCACCAAAACACTTAAAACCAGCGAAGACACGCTTCTCTGGTGCGTGTTCCACACGCGCTATTAACTCTGCCTATTCTCGTCACATTTGCACTTTAGTAAAAACCACTGAGTGTTTATGAGTATATTTATAGACGTTAGGGGGTAATGTGAAAAAGCATTAAACCATAGGGGGTAAAATGTAACTATTCCAATAATAAAAAAAATATAAAAATACAAAAATATTAAACATTAATATTCAAAAAAAATGCCCAACATGTAAAAAATAAAAAAAAAATAATAAATTTCAAAAAAATAAAAATATTAAACATTAATGTTCAAAAAAAAAAATGCCCAACATGTAAAAAATATAAAAAAAAAAATTCAAAAAAAAGTAAAACAATGATTTTTATTTAACAGAAAATACATAAAATTAAACATTAATGATTAAAAAAAAAAAATACCCAACATGTAAAAAATAAAATTAAAAAAAAATAGTCCAGCAGACTATTTTTCTAATACCACCTGCATCTTCTCCATCCCAATCCCCCTTCCAAGGCCTATCCTAATACCAAGGGATTAGAAGTCTCCTTCCAATCTCTCAAAACAAGCATAACATATGGTGGGTCCAACTTCACTATCAATTTCATTCCCCTCTCTATAACTCCAAACAAAAGGGGCCATACTTTCTCCTACATAAACCACCAGTAAAAGTCCTCTTCACTGGGGCAGAAAAAACTTCGAAGCAATCGTCTAGTTAATTGGTTGGCATTAATTATTTTTGTAAGGACTTATTGATCCTTATTGGCACGTTCTAATTATATTTCTAACCTTCGAAAGTTAAAAAAGCCAACAATTATACATAGTTACTATTCTTACTTCACTTTACTCCAAATACACCCATTCTTTGTATAATAATGATTAACAATAGAGTGTATTTGGAGCAAAGTAGGGTGGGAATAGTTGCTCCCATTTTTTTAGGTTAAAATACTAATATGTCCTAATAGTTAAACTTAATTTCCATCAAGTCTTATTAAAAATAAATCTTAGTCAAATCATTGCTAAAACTAATTTTTTATGGTAATTTTTTACTTGTCGCTAAAAATTGACAATTAATGACTTTTTTTTTCACAATTTTTGTAAATTGTTGCTAAAACTAATAATTAGTGACGCTTTTCAGTGATAAAATTTTCAAACTGTCTTTAAAAGTTAAAAATTAGTGACTTTTTTGTGATAATTTTTTTAAACTATCGCTAAAACTTAAAATTAGTAACAATTTTCAAACTGTCATTGAAAATTAACAATTAGTGATATTTTTTAATAATATTTGATGAAAAATATCATTAATCATCATAGGACTTATTGGATAATAAGTCCACTTATTATGATTCACACATGGCTTGTTTTGGGAACATGATTAAAAATAGTTTTTTTTAGTTTTTTTTGACTTTTTAAGATCACATCTCCTCTTTATTTTTTTACACATTTTTTCAAATAAATGTCAAAAAATTAAAAAATTAATTTTTAACCTACTTTTCAAAATAAGTCTAAATCCCATTTTTGTATACTCAACAAAATGATCACACTTGCAATTTTGAACAGGTAAGTCCAATTAGATGAGTCATATGTTGTAAATTAACAAAATTAAAAATTATTATATCATTGTGTATTGATTTATATATAATATTTATTTATTAACTGATTATGATTCATCGGGTCAAATCTAATAAGATGATCCCGAGTCAATTTTTTAAAAAATTGGAATAAATTTTTATTTTTTGTAAAAACAAAAATAATATACTAAAAAAAAAAGTTGATTTACAATTTTAAAAAATTATAAATAAAACAAACACAATGTTGAAAAAATAAATAAACAAATAAACAAAAAATCGCATCATTGGCAATAGGAGTGTAAAAATAGTTCGCAGCCCGTGGGCGATCCGAAATTTCCTACGGCCTAGGGTGGGCGCTGCTCCATTAGGCTTGAGCCAGAGTCCAGTCCGCGATCTTGGACCATCATTTTGAATCCTGGCCTGGCCAGTGGCCTGACCCATTGTCCCCGCTCAAAGCCCGGCTCGAGACCTGACCCACCCGAGATTCAGTGTCATTTTTAATAAAAAATAATAAAATTTTAATAAAAAATAAAAAAAAATGTTGAAGCCGGCCCACCCAGCTGAATACTCCTAAACTTGGAGGGTTGTTTGGGATGATCTAAATAAGTGCACTTTTTGACTTTTTATGAAATATGGGTTGGATTTGGGTTGGGTTTGAAGTGATGTGTAAGAGAAGTGATGTGACTTAAATAAGATGATGTGACTTAAATAAGATAGTGACTTTTTGACTTTTTATCTTTTTCAAGACATGCCAAACTTGACCTTAATTTTCTATCTCATGACCCCGTTTAAATTTTGACAAGAGCTCAGAAAACCCAACATGAGCCGATAAGAGATCGAGTCCAGTTGAGCCGGATTGAGCCAAGCTAAATTTACACCCCCAATCAATTATTTTTTTCCTCTTCAGGACCCGTGTGCCCTATATATGGGTACTTGCCAGTGCAAAGTGCAAACCCTTCCTCCCAAAATCTCACTCTCTTCCTATTCCTCCATTTTCCAAACCCCTCTCTCTCTCTCTCTCTTTCTCTCCCTCCCAGATATATACAAAACCCTCAATTTAAACATGGGTGTGTGACAGTTCATCGCCATTAAAGGCTTAACCTCCAATCCAACCTCATCCCCATTCCAACTTGTTTATTTATGAGAAACACCCAATCAAAAATCATAACCCACCCACTATATAAATCAAAAGGCATCAAAAACCCATCTCAATTTTTCAACCAAAAAACCACACACCCTTCACAAAATTACCTCTCCAATTCCGCAAAACAAAAAAAAGAAACACATCTCTGGAGCAGAAGATGTCTGCTTCTGGGGTTCTCTTTTCTCTCTTCCTTCTCCTCTTCTTCTACTTCTTCAGTCTCGGTGAAGTAAGATTTGCTCAAGTGAGTCCCTCTCTCTCTCTCTCTCTCTCTCTCTATGAACCCTCTTTAGATTTTGTCGATCCTTTAAATTTTCATGTCAATTTGGTTATGATTTATAGAGTAAAACTTTATTTTATTTTGCGGGTTTCTATGTGATTGAATCGGTTTTGATTTGTTTATTATTATTGAGGTGGAGGCAAATGGGGTAGTGGGAAAGAATGGCACGGCGGCGGCGGTGGCGGAAATGGTGCCGATGATTGGGGCGGAGAGGGTAGTGATGGTGAATGAGAGCAGGAGGAAGTTGGGCAGCTTCCAGATCTGTGCATTGTGCACTTGCTGTGGTGGGGCCAAAGGTTACTGCTTGCCTACTCCTTGTTGCTACGCCATTAATTGCAACATACCAAACAGGCCCTTTGGTTTCTGTTCCTTCACCCCCAAGACCTGCAATTGTTTTGGTTGTCATCTCTAAAACTCTTTCTTTCTCTCTCTTTCTCTATTTAATCTAGTTTTTATGCTTAATTAAATTTAGGGTTCTTGATATATCTATTGGATGAGTGTGAATGAGAAGAATATTTGTTCTTTTTATTATTTGTTTATAATTATTTGGGGACAGCTATTTTCAAGTGAGTTCTTGCTACTTTTAGAACTGATAATAATAATGTCTATTTGTCGCTTAGGGGACTTGTTTTCTTTTCTGAAAGTAACAAAAACTTGCTTTGGAGGGGGTGGGGGACTCAAATTATTATTTTACTTCTTTTTCTTGTCTTCTTTCTTAAGAAATTTTATTATTTAGCATACATAGATAGTGTCTAGTGAAGATGTTTGATTTATGTTCTGTTAGATTGGATTAAGATATGATTGTTATTTTAATGCTCTGTTGTTAATTAATTGTTTTCTTTATAGTTCTTGTCTTCTTTCTTAAGAAATTTTAATTAGCATTATTATAGCGTGTTGATTATGTTCTGATAGATGGGACTAAGACATGATTGTTATTTTAATGCTTTGTTGTTACTTAACCATTTTCTTTACTTATACTAGGGGATGTGGTGGAGATTACTATGCATAGTTTAATTAAATAATGGATGTGGGTGTTTCTACTTTCATAATTGTGTTTTTCTTAGGGCAATTATCAGTAATCTCTGAACACCTATGACCTTGTTTACATAGTGTTCTAAATCAATCTCGTATCGAAAAATTTTACATTGAGATACACTTGCTCACTTTTTGTTAGGCAATTAGAGATAAATGATGATCTATTTAGACTATATGGCGATTTTTTATTAGTTAGGAGTTTGATGTAGACAATGTTGTATCTAATAATTTCTGGTTTGGAGGGTAGTTTGGACTGCCACTGGTCTTTGTGTCCACTGCCAGCTCAGTGAGTACCAGAATCTATTCAGTGTTTCTCATCCACACTGCCCAACAGTCTTAGGAATCATATTTTAGGAGTAGTTGTAAACAAATTATGCAATGTATTAATTATATGAAATTTTATTAGCCAATATTTTTAAAATATTCGATAACATGATTCTATCAATATTAACACATGTTTGTGTGTTGGTGTAATGGTTACAGTATGAGATGGCATTGTAAATCTCTCTTTTAAATGAGTGTGGATTTCATAACATTGAACTTCATATGTATGTGAGAAAGAAGAGCAGAGACCACAAAGATGTGCTTGTTATGCAAAATATCACCACCTAACCATATATTAAATATGCTTTGCATTAGATAGAGTTGAGTTCGAGGTGGGTGGTTGTTGGGTATGAGCAATTATGCCCAGCTACTTTTTGCTACAGCAATTAAAGAGAAGTGGGAGTTATGCTTCTTGAGAAGCAGTTGTAATGTACTCTTGCCTCGGGTGTTTTTTGGGACCATTAGTGAGTAAACTTTAGATATGCGCAATCACTTGTCAATTGCGTATACCAGGTAAGTCTGTGTGCATCATCAAAAAAAGATTGCCCTAAATGCCTTAACTCATTTTTAGGGAATGACTAATGGAGTTGGGTTTCAGAAGTATTTGGGAAGTTTCGATTTGCCCATAATACAAGATGAGAGTTTTTGTTGGTTGAGTGTATAATTTATGGGGTTAGAGCAACTATTTAATTGCGTTGTCAAAATTTTGCATGATGGATAGTAGGTCTTAGAGAGAGAGAGAGAGAGAGAGAGAGAGAGAGATTATCAGTGATACAATTGAACTAGCACAATCTGCTAGAGCTGATGGTCTTAGGGATACTGTGGATATATGGCAGGCAATGGAGGCTAAGCTTAGGCTAGCATTAGCAACTAGCTCGTGCATTTTGGTGGGTGTATGTGAACTGCTTAATCTCAATCGCATTGACATCACAGTGGGATTAATAAGTTGTGCACCAAGCCATGTGCTCCATTGGGGGCAATAGTAACTACTGCTAGATCGTTGTCATTTTCACCATCCTCTTAAATTCCCATTTGAGCTCTGGTAGTTTTAGCTGACCTCATTTTCAATTCATCATTATTATTATTATTATTTTTTGTAAATTAAAATTTTCAATCAAACCAAGCAAATCATTGGCATCTAAAAAGACCAAGCCAAGCCAAGCCATACTATGGCACCTACCACCAGGCTTCCCAAAGTCCACTCCCAACAAAGAAACCAAAAGCACACTAAAAACATACCTCTCAAAAGGCAAACCAAATTGCTTTTAGGATTACAAGAAACAAAAACAACAAAACAGAGGATACCATCCCACTTTTAATTGATTTTAAGAATTCTAGTAGAGATACTCCAAGCCAAACACAACTGCCAATTACTGAAAGTATTCTCCACTTTTCCCACCAAGAACTCTATTCCTAGCATCTTTCACAATTTTGAATATAATTTTTCGGCATGATAATTTCCCCCCGTCCAGTTTTCCCTGGCCCGCTATGCCCTTCCCCGTGTTGCCTAGATTCTGTCCCTAATAATTTCTGTTATCCCAAAGTTTTCTACTTAAAAAGTCCAGCATTTCTTTCACAAGTGGTTAATTGTGGTAGCTAGGGATTTTTTCAAAAAAAAAAATATTTACTCCAAAAAAAAAAAAAAAATTATAAAAGTATATCACAGGCAAAGTGTAGATTGAACCTTGGTTTGGATAGAATAAATTTGGTTCACATTTTAATTTCGAGATGCTTTTAATGGTACATATAGTATTGTTGTAATTTTTTGTTCTCTCTATTTTTTAAATGTCAAATTAAGTTGATTAAACAACTCAATTAAGTGAATAAAAAAAATCAATAAAGTTTGTCAGGCTTAGGAGATATATAGAATATAGTAATAGTAACAGCAATAATAGAAAGGACTTTTGCAAAATTTCATATAAGAACTTCCTAAAACCATTCTAGAAGTCCCTTTATGGTTAGGACTAAAAATTTGAAAGGACAACATCAAATATTAATAGCACTAATTAGAAGATCTTAAACACATTTAAGTATAATTTAGCTCTGTCTAAGTATCGCAACAAGAAGAAAATAGAAGAATCAACAAACTCTCCCTGGATTTTGCTCCAAATTGTTAAATGGAACAGATTGAGAGGGGTCAATGTAGAAACTCTAAAATTGCATAATAAGCTATCAACACTGGAAGGGACACCATCATCCCAAAGATTACCCTGCAAACATTTTAAAATTAGATTCAAATTTAAAAAAAAATTATCACAAATTTAAACCTTATACATCCGCTTGAATTTTCACACTGATTTTAAGTATAGGGTTTTTGTTATATAATTTTAATTCTTAAAGTCATTTTAGTCTCTTGCATTTCAATTTTCTCAATTTTATTTCCAAAATATTTTTGTGTCCTATAATAGTCTCCATGTGTTATGATGTCTAATTAAATTTGAAAACAAAAATTGCATCAGAATACACGAAGACCACTTTAGGACACGTTTACAAAAAGACAAAATATTTTAAAGAGTCAAAAAGATAAAATATTACATTCAAATTATAATCATTTCATTTTTTCTCTCACAGAAGTCAAAAAATCAACCCATTTCACAAACGATTGGATATGAAGTTTGACACAATTGAAATGTTTGTTAAGGCATAATATTGAGGACTAAAATGAAACAAAAGCATATATTTAGGGACTAAAACTGTAATTAAACATAACATATGTTGGTAGTTTTTAAATAACTTACGCAGTGCTAAGCACATCCGCATGCAATCCATATTCTTTCGCGTATATGAAGGAGGTGATGGATTGTGGCAGTGCTGCCTGCGACAAAATCAAACAATCATCTTAAATAATAATACAAATTTTTTTAATAATAGTGTAAACTATACTTTGCCTTCTTATGTTTCAAGTTACATTGAAATTTGTTAGAAATTAATTGTGTAGACTATATTAACTTACGCAAATCTGTAAATTAATTTTGAATCTACAAAATTTATGTTTGATTAAAAAAACAAATAGATAACATTTCAGGGTACCTTAAATATAAAAATAAATTATATGAAAACAATAAGAAAATGATATATAGATGTAGATATAGACATACCTGGATGATAGCAATGCGGAGGACATCGTCATGCAAACCAACAGCAATAGCACCAATAGCCATGGCAGCGGGACCAGCTATAAACCTCAAAACCATCCCAAACACAGTTAGACTCACTCCGCACGCTATTACTTTCTCTTGCATCGCCATGAATAGCCCTGCATATCCATCCACATCCACATAACAAATTTATAAAACAATTTCCAAATGAAAAACAAATCTCTATACATGTCTAGGGTGCTTGTGGACTTCATGATGAATTTATAAGACGGTACATGTGTCTTTTAGGTAGGAGGTTAACTATTGGGTTGGATCATAACAGATAATACTTTTAAGTGAGGATTGAACCATGCATCTAACTTGGTATTAGGGATGTTGGCATCATTCATCTGCAGACGATGTCTAAGATAGATTTATAAGATAGTGTAAGACACTTCCATTGTGGAGGTAGACGGACTTGTAAAATAGTGCAAGACACTTCTATTGTGGAGGTATCTTTTGGGTTAGAGTTTAAAGGAATAAACCTGTTAGGCTAAGCCACAGTCAACATTACTTCTAGGTGAGGGGAGAAGTGCAAATTGCAATAATGATGGATGATGATGTATAGTCTAGGCAGTCTTCTTACCCATGCTAAACATGGCTGTGCCTGTTCCAGCTCTTGACATGATTAGTATTGATCCTTCCATTATACTGGGCATTTCAAAATGAAACCTAAAACAAGACCAAAACAATGCATTAGTTCTCAATCTCATCCATATCTAGCAAAACACATATAATAATAATATTAATAATAACTTGTTGCTTCTCAATCACAAGCAAAGGAAGCAAGTTATCCACTGTCTTCATATTTTTCTGTCCTCTTATCCCAAAACTCAAATCCCTTACATTTGTTTCAAAATTTTCTTGCTTCAAAATTCTCGAGTGTTGTTTATATGAAATTTTAAGGACATAAAATTCTTGGTCTATAAGAAAATCATTTGTTAAAATGATACCTGTTGGATATTGGTCTATAAGAAAATCTTTTGTTAAAAAGATACCTGTTGGATAAGAAAGCCCAAACGAGTCCAACAATGCAAGCATAAGAGTTAGGATTGAGAGCAAGTTTCATCCAAACACCCCTCATCAAATACCAAAATGATGGCTTAGTCCCACTACTAACCACCACACCTACACCATTCCCATTGCCATTAACATTATTATTCCCTTCCAAATCTTTCCCCGGTGGCGGCAAATCTTCAACAACAACATCATCAGTTCCAGTACTCCAACTCCGCCTAAATTCCAATACGAAAAGTAAACCCGTGAGCCATATGATGGCCTGAACTACAGATGATTGAACAACCAAGTCGATGGCGATCTGCCCATACATGGCTTTCAAAAGAGGAATACCTACAACCAAAGAATTAGTCAATGTAGACAAAGAAAAGCTTGTGATGGACCAACAATAGCTTCCTTTGCTACTGCATTTAGCCCAAAAGGCAAGCACAGCCACTATGATGACTTTGGAGATTGCGTCTGCGCCGATGAATTTGTAGTTCATTTTGAAAGGATCAACGTGGGCGGCGAACTCAAAGGTGAAGAGAGGGAGGGTGAAGTAGCAGACGAGGCGGTTCACGGCATCGCATTGTTCAGGGGTGAAGATCTTCCACCACTTTATTGAACCATAGCCTAACATTAGGGCTACGTATAGTGGTACCATGGCTACCACCACCTTGTAAACATCTTGCCACTCTATCATTTTTGCTTTGTTTGTTTTTTGTGTGTTCTGAGTTTAGGGTTTAGAGGATTTGGAAAAGCTTGGTATAGCATGTTAATGAATGGAAAGGACTAGGCTATTTATATGCATTGCATGCAGAGACAAAGCACATTCATTTATCTTTTATTTTATATCTATATGTGTGTGTGTGTGTGTGTGTGTGTGTGCAGTATTATATGAAGTATGGAGCCCAACCATAAAGTTTTGTTGCTACTTTCCACTTTTCAAAATTTCTTTTATTTAACTTCCAAAATACCTCTTTCAGATCTAAATATTTGAAATTTAGTAATTACCGTGATTTGTATAATTGTTTCAAGGAAAATGCTGCATATGAGAAATGAGATTATTATTCACGGTTCATTTGGCATTGGCTTTTTTAGCTAACTTTTTTGTGTTGAGACTTTTTTAGCCTGATTTTTTTAGCCTCGTTTGGTTTTTGTTTTGGGACTTTTTTTTTTACTTTTGTGAGAGAAAAAGTGTAATGATTATGAGTAAAAACTAGTATTTTGTCTTATTGACTTTTATAGTTAATTTTGTCTTTTTATAATTATTTAGCTCAAAAAGTTTGTCAAACCGGGGCTCAAACTTGGTCATTATAGTAATTACCACACACGTAATATACCCAAGCTTCTAATGTACATGGGGGATACAAGATTTTATAGAGGATTTTGGCACTAGAATAAGTGATGTCATTTTTGTAAATAAACAGCATTTAAATGGACACTTCTGTTTTAAAATGACAAGTGTAAACACAGTATACTTTTTTTTTTGTAGGTATATCGCTAAGTAATTATTGAATAGTAATCATAGAGTAACCGTACAATGTGGTGCTCTCAACTAATGATATTGTGAAAAAGTTATAAGTGGACAAAACTAACTCACTTTTATTTGGAAGTTAAGATTTAAGAAATGACTCATATAGTACGTTATGTAATTTTTAATTTATTAGAAGGACCATACACAATACCATATAATATTTTGGATTACCTTATAATATATAGTATAGATATGTTACTTTTACAGAGATTGATTTAATTGCATGGTGGATATGTATGGGATTCTATGCCGTGGATTCTTGAAAGTTGACGCAATTGTTGTGGTTTCTTGGTGGGCGGATTGAGAGGTCACTGTTGCTTTGTACAATGGGTTTATTTTGTATGGGTTGTGTTGGTGAGCACTAGCGAGGTATAGAGAGAATAAGGAATGAGGTCCAAGGATTATGATTATTATTCCATCCAACTTCGCCAAATTGGGGTTTCTGATTTTGTGTTATTATTGTTAACTATTCTCATCCTCTCATCTCTATTATTTGTGGGTCCCTTGTAACGTACCCTTTCCATGCTTGGTTGTCGTGGGTAATGACAAAATGTTGTTAGTGGTGCTTTGGTGAAATGCTTCGCCTGCACTCAGTTTGGTACCATTTTTGCTGAATTCTGGATTTGATATCGATTTGGTGAAACCGTTGGAGGTTCAAAAAGTGACTTTTTCACCAAATTTTAAATTTGATGCCAGATTTGATTCACCGTTTGAGATGGTCTAAAGGCTAAGTAAAACATCAAAAGCTAATTTCTACCGGTCATTGAAATGCCAATCCGACAAGTACTCTTGTTAGACTCTAGTGGTCTATTGTTTGTGCAAGATCAGATCTATTGAGGTACAACATTGCTCTCTAGGAGGAAATAGTTCGGGGTCACTGCTGTGCGTGAGGTACAGCAGTGACTGTGGTGCATCCATTTGAGGTGTATTATGGCTTTATTTTTATGATCCAAACCGTCCATTTTGTAGGGTTTGTTGAGTACGTCATGTCTACCAAAAATCATATTAATCGGATATCAATAACTATATGATCGAATTGCATATTATTTATGTTATTTCTCAAAACAAAACTTATTATTTATTTTTTTTGGTTATCGATCATATAGTTGTTGATATCCGATTAATATGATTTTTGGTAGGCATGAATTACTCAACAAACCCTACAAAATGGACGGTTTGGATCATAAAAATAAGGTCATAATACACCTCAAAGAGATGCACCACAGTCACTGCTGTGAGGCACAGCAGTGACCCCTTATCCTTTTTTTAGAGGGGTAAATTCCTCTTTTGTTGATTGGTTGGTTGGTTTGTTATGTTTTGACGATGGGCTAAATATGCGAATTGTTTCAAGGAATGGATTCAACGGTTCACGTCCTTGATTGTGATTCCATTGGTCAAAAGCCAACCTCTGCATTTGTACCCATGCTGACTCAACATTACTAACACATTAAATTGAATGAATGAATGCCCTTGAATGAAACTAAGTAGTTGTTAGTACAATTATTTTGTATTATAAAATTTTATCATATACATTTTTTTTTTAAATGCATATATCATAAATTTGAGACATAATCAAACACCACTATAATGGATTATAACTAACACTATTTTAGAACATTATCAGTAATTTCCTTGCAAATTAATTTTTCATAGAAAGAAAATTACTTAAGAATTTGATATTGATTTTATAATAGATGAGTTTTAAAATTTTATGTGTCGATTAATATTTCTTGTGAATTTTATTTCATGAATTTAATTAAAAAAATATTTATTTTTAAAATTCAATAGCTGAAAACGGAGGTCCATACGTTATATTCTGTGTGTTTGGCCTTTTGGATCTTTTGAAATATCAATGGAAAGGATACATTAATTAATAGGCCACATAAGCTATTTTTTATTTTTTTTTTATTTTTTTATTTTGGTAAATGTAACAAAAACCATAGTGGGGAGATGAAGAAAGTAGCTTTTATTAATTCCTCTTCGATCTCTATATTCCCTGTCTTCTTAGATATAGGCGTGTGCATATTGTGTTTGTATTTCTTAAAATGATTGGTCAATTTGTTTGTCTCAATATCCATAAAATAGAATAATACTACAACAAACTAAAAAATATAATTTAGAAATATTAACGTGTGATTTAAATTTATTGTATGCATCAACTTCACAAAACACTCATTAAATCTCAGTCACACTTTATAATTATGTGCTACAATTCTCTTTTGCTCATTAGATAATTGATATTAATTTTAAGTGTGAATCCCTTTATATATAAAAATTATGGGTAAATTATACTGACACCCCTTAAGGTTTATATTTATTATAGTTTTTTCTCTCATCTTTTGGGAATTACATCTTCCTCCCTGAGGTTTAAGGTTTCATTATAGATTCCCCTTCAGCAATTTAATTTTTTTAAATACCAATTTTGTCTTCATTGGGTAAATTACATTGACACCCTTCACATTTTAGAAATTATAATCCCCTCCCTAAGGTTTAAAGTAGCATTACCAATTGCCCCCTTAGTTAGTATTAGTTGGAAAAAAAAATTCATTAAAAAAAATTAATTGGAAAAAAAATTATTTGAAACAAAAAATTTGTTAGTAAAATTTTTAAATTTTTGTTTAAAAATCAACGTAAACTTATTTTTTGAATTTATGTTTTTTTTTATCAAATTTACAAACTGAGACAACCATATAAACCAAAAAAATTATCAAACAAGTTTTTATGACAGTTTTTTAATTTTTTGTAAATATAAATTGAAAACTAAAAACGAAATGGTTACCAAATAGGTTTCAGATGGTAAAAATATCGTAAAATTAACAAATAATTAAATAAGTTACCAACATAAGAAATGACTTATGAAAATATTCTTAGGATATGTATGGTTTGATTTTTAGAATTTTTTTAAAAAAATTAAAAATTAATTTGGTTAAGAAATAAAAAATAAAAAATAATTATCATTTTTATATAATTTCTATCTTTCGAGTGACTAAAAATAATTTTTTACAAATTAAATTGAAACAGCCATACGTATGTATATAACCTGCCCAAAAGTTAAAATGATAATTATTTTTTACCCTTAAATGATAATTATTTTTTATTTTTTATTTCCTAACCAAATTAATTTTTAATTTTTTAAAAAATTTTCTAAAAATCAAACTATACATAGCCTAAGAATCTTTTGATAAATCATTTCTTATATTAGTAACTTATTTAATGATTTGTTAATTTTACAACATTTTTACTATCTGAGGCCTTTATGGTAACTATTTCGTTTTTAATTTTCAATTTATATTTACAAAAATTTTAAAAACTGTCATAAAAACTTATTTGATAATTTTTTTGGTTTATAAATTGTTGTCTTAGTTTGTAAATTTGAGAAAAAAATGTAAATTTAAAAAATGAATTTACGTTGGTTTTTAAATAGAAATTTAAAAATTTTACAAACAAAATTTTTTTTTCAAATAATTTTTTTTTTATTTAATTTTTTTTTTCAATGAATTTTTTTTCCAACTAATACTAACCAAGGGGACAATTGGTAATGCTACTTTAAACCTTAGGGAGGGGATTGTAATTTTTAAAATGTGAGGGGTGTCAATGTAATTTACCCAATAAGGACAAAATTGGTATTTAAGAAAATTAAATTGCTGAAGAGGGGAATCTGTAATGAAACTTTAAATCTCAGGGAGGGAGATATAATTTTCAAAAGGTGCGAGAAGAAATTGTAATAAATATAAACTTTAAGGGATGTCAGTGTAATTTACCCAAAAATTAAATATAAATCACACGAGTATTGAAGAAAGTTTTTGATAAACTATTTAAAATTTGTAGACTATGACATGTATTTCAACAAATGAGATTATTTTTTGAGCTGATAGACCCACCACTATCCTGCTATTGTGAAATGTGATCATTGTGTCATACTTGAACAAAAAGCTAGTGGCTTATAAAAGAACATATAGACAAACCATGTGGTAATTTCAACTTCATATTTGATACTACTTGACAGTAATAAATTAAAAAAAAAAAAGTTAATGAAAAACAAATAAACAGTGGTAATTTCAACTTCATATTTGATATTATTTGATAGTAATAAATTAAAAAAAAAAAAGTTAATGAAAAACAAATAAACAGTGGAGGAAGGGAGTTGTAATCAGAATAACCCCTGA